GCAGAGAGATTAACATCTATGGAAACAGCAGGTGTTTTTTCACTGGCTGGGGAACAACTATTTAAAACAAGGCAGGTAATTGCATAAGAGCTAAGGTCAGAAAGAGAATTGAATCCTCTGCACAGCTTTTTAGTGGTGGCTTAATTTGCATTTGTACAATGGGCTGGATAATCTGCTTTTTACTGGGGAATGGTTTCAATTTTGGTTTGGGATTTTTTTTTTTTTTTTAAGGCTGAAGCCATATTCATTCTGAATATTTCTTGACATATAAAAAATCACTAATAGCAAAGGTGAAATGAATGGCTTTCCATGGAGTGTGAGCAATAATAATTCTTATTTAGTCTCCAAAATTCATCACTGATTTTCTGTTCTAGAAAAGAAAGTTCTGGTTCTTCAGTTTATTCATCCACCTATTAAATTGAGATGTTTGTCATGAAAAAAATTTCAAATTTCCATGTAGCTTGTAATAGAAATACCTTTCCTTATGTTTTGTATAAAGGGGAATCCAGTGTTACAGAATATTTATTTTGCCGAGTTTCTAGTGCTTTTTATATCAGTGATTTATATTTTGGGTTTTTTATGATCACTTAATATTACAAATGAATACTCTAAAGCTTCAACTTTGTTCTCTGAAAGCTGGAAGTGCTCTGAAAATGCTATCTGGCTGAGGTTTACTGAAACACTACCACTTTGTTACTCATTTTCAAATACACAGGAAAAACACGCTGGCACATGCATTTTACCTGGTCAGGTCTCATATATTCTGTTCAGTTGAATAAGAGAACAAGAATAAAAAGGTTTTTTTTTTTTTCTTAATTTAATTCTGCTGAAAATGCAGAATAGTGATTAATGGACCACCTGAAAATTTAGAATAATAAATTTATGTAAAGAAGTTAGTTTGGAGGTTTTTTTCCTGTTAAATGGTAGGAAAAAATGAGAGAAAAAAACCTAAAAGTACTATTTAATGGAATGTTTAAATATATGCTCACCATATACATTTTGAAAGATAATTTATGATCTAAATTTCAGAGTGAAATAAGCAACATGGACCATGAAATTCAAGCTAAAGGATCTTGTTATGTTTGATCATTATTTGGAAAATAAAAATACTGTTTCCTGTGTTTTATGCCATACTTTCCCAGTGGTATTTACAGCATATTTAACACTAGAGCAAGGGTTATCACTTCTTTGTTAGGTCTTAGTTTCTGTCTTCAAACTTCTCTTTAAAATGCAGTTCCCCAAAACAGGTCTCTTATGTTCCCCCAACAGTTTATCTGCTCCAAATACCTGAGAGAAAATATTCTTCAATTTCTAGCTACGAATGCTCTGTATGAAAGACTCATGTGCCCTTGATAGATACATATATATATATATATATATATATATATATGGGTGCATATAAATATATACATTTATATTCAGATATAATTTGGCACTGAACAAATGACCATGGAGACTGAAGCAAACAAAATAATTTTGTTGGTCTTTTTTTTTTGCCTCTGCACCAGAGCCTGTGGGTGCTGGAAGCTGTGTTTGCTGCCTGCGTGTTTGGAGGGAGGCTGTGGCAAAGGAGTGCTGGAGGGTGAGTGTTGTCTCCCAGCTGCAGCAGAGCAGTTGCAGGTGCCAGGCACACGTGTCACAGCTCTGTGCTGCCTGTGCCTGCCTCTGCTGGGGTCAGTGTCTCTGAGGGGATTAATCCAGGTTCCCTGGGCTCCTCTCTGCCTGGAGGCTGAACTCCAGGGTTCCCTGAGCGCTGTGAGAAGCAGGAGGAGAAGAAACTGGTATCACAGATGGGATCACAATCCAGATCTGTGGGGTTTTTTTTCAAATTTACAGAGGCATAAGTCCTCATTTCCTTGCCTTACGTGGTCTCTAAATGATGTGGAAATGAGAGAGTGGAAAGCGTATTGTCTCTCTCATAAGCTCATGTTGGAAGAAACATCCATGACATCCAAACAATAGCACTTCAAAGGAGAGGCTTAACAAATGCCTACTGGGCTGCTCTCCATGGATGCAGGAGGAGAGGGCATAATGAGATTTGTGGGCTTTTTAAATTATGAAAGGTGTGTTTGCAATTGGGCAACTGCCAATTATTTAAAAGATGAAAAGTAGGCATATTAATAAAGCTGACACTTGGATAAAAGACAACGGGGAATTGAGATTTAAAGAGATTTTGGCTTTCTCTGTTCAATAACGTATTGGTGGTTGGTTGGGCTTTGTATGCTGATATAGGTGCAGGAACAACAGGATCATGGTTCTTTTGCTTAATAAGTGGATGCAAGCAAAGCAGCTTCAGATCCTTTTTGCAGATAACAGCACTAAAATTTTGGGTATAATGAACATAAAAGTTTAGCAATTTAGTTACAGGTGGCTGGGAATAATTTAAAACCTCTATCCCTATGGCACTTACAGCATTGTGTCAAGTTTATGTGGACAAATCCTCAGGGATTGTAAACCATCAGATTTAGATAATAGCTTTATAAGCATGCATTGTGCAGAGTGTCTGCCAGGGTACAATGAACAGTGAGCTTGTGAAACTGAATCAGTGAAAACACAATTGTTTCAAAGGAAGTTTTCTGGTAATTCCTTCATTTTAGAGGAAAAAAAAATTACCATCTTTGAGATTTTTGAGTCTGGTTTTGTGAAGTAAAGTGGGCATTTAGGAAACCAGTTCTCACGGTCTCATGTGTGGCATAGAACAAAACTGGAGTTAATAAAAAAAATTGTATGGAAAATCATCTGGTGGCATTGCTGGATTGAATCTTTCCCTGTAATGGTTCTTCTGTCACATAAAATATGTATGTATGCAGTTTTCAGGAAGGATATTGGTTATAAATATTTAGTTGGGTTATGGTAGGGAGGGTGCTCCTTTCTTACTGCTACTCTGAGGAATAAGCAGGTCCATTAGGAAGGCACCAGCCAACCTCACCGTGTTTGTAGCCAGAGGGTAAAATTAATCCTTGTGCAGGAGGTTGGCATAAGGGTCTTGGTGGTATTAACAGCCATGGGAGAATGAGAAGAGCAATAAACTAGTTTGGCAGAAATCCTCTGCTTTCCTGGAAGGACTCAAGAGGGAAATACATACCTTCATGCTAGATAACAGGCTGAACACTTGAGTCTGTTGGAAAGCTAAATCAATAAATATTTGTAACTCACTCCCCAAACACTGAAGAGCTCTGTGGGTACTTTAAGCCTGTTCTTCAGATAAATTGCTCGGGAAAGATGACTGTGCTACAACTGACTTGGGACATTATTTATCCAGGAGCTCCTGGCAGGACTTGGAAACTTATGTTCTGAGAGTTGTCTTGTGTTTTTTTTTTTCTGGGAAGCAAATCTTTTTGTCAGTGAACTTTAATCTCTTGTAGGATCAGCCTGCTTGGAGAAGTTATGGTGTCATAAGTAAAATGTGACTTTACAGCTCCTTTAGTGACTTGTTTTATTCCCATCAGGCTGGGATGCCTTTCCAGCACATTCCTGGCTGGCTGCAGGAGTAGTGCAGAGAGGAAGAGCATGGGACTGTGAGGAAGGCTGTTCTTAATGAGCCTTAAGGTCCATTTGGAAAACCAGGCAATCTCAGAAAGCCAGGGAAGAGGGGAAGGGCAGGGCAAACTTGCTAATATCCTGGAGCACTTTGCCAGTATCCAATAAAGTTCAGGAACTTCTGGAGGGGGTTTATTTCTGTTTGCACCAAAATCTGGTTTTAATTATCTTCAGGTTTAATTGGGTTTGCATTAATTTGCCCAGAGCCATTTTGAAGCACAAGTCTCCATAATCACAAAGTTCTATGATGAAGTCCTGCAGTGTAACCACCTCTTGGGTGAAAAAACTCTGTTTTGTTTCTTCCCAATCCCTGTATGTTCAGACTTCCTGGAGCCATCTTTACATCAGTGTGTGGGAGGGACACTGACAGGTTGCCTCCACGCAACCCATTAAGCATGTCAAGGAGACAAAATTATTCTTGGGAGCAAGAAGCTCTATAGACGTTCAAATTCATTTGCTAGAGGTCTGTTTTCTCTGCTTTACCTTCAGCCTGTTAGGATTTAGTCAGAAAGCAATTGCACACTTACTCTTGCTGCCCTTTTTGGGAGTAAGTGCAGCAATGCAAAGATATTTCTGGCGTCTCTTTTCAGCTGTGAAGGTTTTGAGGTAAAGTAGTAACTCAAATTCATCCTCAATAAAGGCCGAGTTTTATCTATTGAAGTCAAGGAAAGCTTTCTTGGACTCTTCAACAAAACATGGTCTTGAACTCTGTCCTCCTAGAGAGCAGGTTAACAAAGCATCATTCCAAGGATGAGTTGGATTCTTGGCGTCATTTTATTCTCACACTGTGTTGTTACTCCTGGATTTTACAAAATGTATTTTTGGAAGGGTCATGAGCTGAATAATGTGATGAATAATTCAATGCATAATTTTCAGTATACTTGGCAGTATTTCCTTCATATTTTTTCTGGAGCTAATTTTTAGCTGCAAATATCTACAAGCATAAACAGAGTAACACTGACCCCTATAAAAATGAAAACCAGTATAGTCATGCTAAAATTTATCTCCACACAAGTAATACTTTGAAGGGTTTTTTAAACTGATTTTGAAAATATTTAGCCTGAATGCCACTCTCTGTGAAAGAATATTTAATAATGCAATAGAGAAAAAGAAAAACAATGGTCATAAAAAGAGCAGTTACCCAGTTGGAGGGATTAAAGTTGTATTATGCCACTAAACCTAGGAAAAGGAAACAAAAAAGCCAGTTTGGCTGAAGTGAGAGTTATCTGCCTTGGGGATCTTGCTATGCCAAACAAGTGGAATGGTGTGTGATCCCTAACCAGGACAGGAGCCAGGGGGTGGTGATGATGTAACTTCACTGTATTCTGGTATCTTCTCTCCTCATACTCTATTACACAGCAGAATCAGAAATTATGTAGAAATTATGTCCTATCAGCATAATTTTTGATTCTGCTTGGTGACATTGTTGCAGGAAAATGCCTAATAAAACACAAAAGATTTAATCCAGAGAAATAATCTACTGATATAGCGGAAATTTTCCTGGTCAGCTTTGAACCAAGCTGTTTGTGAAATGCTGCTCTGAAGCTGGGAGTTATTAGAAGTCTGTGATGCCAGCCTGTGTATAAGCAAGCTTGTTGGTATCAGATTATTCTACACTTGGAAGGAACCTACAGTTATTTTTTTTCCTGTTACAACCTTTTAGTCTTTTTTTCATCTATGGAAACAGTTTTGTGAACTTTGAGAATAGTCCTCTGTGCATTACAATGTATTTGCTGATGAAATGTTAAATCAAACAGCAGCTTGATAATTTTTAAAGGTCAGAGTTACTGAAGCAAAATACACACTGCATACACCTCTTTTAACTGCTTTTTTTTGGTTTTCTGCTTTTTTTTATTTTCTTTTTTTTTATTTTTTAATTTATTTCTTTTTTGGTAAATTTAAATGGAATCTTGCAGTGTATACACAATGCTGGCGGTAAAATTTGTAAGGAAAAATATAATTTTGTCCTACAGGAATTAATAAGTGTGATGATGTTTGCATCTTCTATTTACAATTCATAGATGATTAAGAAGAAAACTTGAAAAATTATAACAATGTTTCCTTAGGGAAAGCCCAAGACAGTTAGTAATTCATATTTTTCAGTATTTTCTTCATCACTCTGAGATTCCAGGAGTATGTCTGGGTCGAGTGCTTCAGTAGTTTAAATGAAAGATGAGGTTTGGGAACTGCAATTCTGCAACCAGAGCTGAATGACGCAGCTGCTGCCACCGCAGCTGAGGGATTGCTGCTCATGAGGCTCAAAAAGAAATACTCTGGCTGCTACAGCAATAAAGCTTTCTAAACATACCATGTTAGACAAGGAGGAATGTTCTGCAGACATGCTTTATTATCTGGGAATTGGACTGTGATGAACCTTGTGAGTACTTTCCAACTCAGAATATTCTATGATATTCTGTGATATTTTATGATACTTTACTAGGATGATTCTGTTTTAGTTATATCTGGATGCCTGGCCATAGTTTCTCTTCTGGTTGTAGATGTAAATGTTTGGAATATTTACAAAAGTTTTAAGTAACAGCAAGCCAGTAGAATTGCATGGGATTTGGCACAGGTGCTTTTGGATATACTGTGTTCTTGTGCATTCAGGATAGAGAATTGCACACTCAAAAGTAAAAAATGACTCAGTAATAACATCAGAGGTGCAAGTGTCCTAAGTATTGCTGCTCCAGATGACAGACACAAAGCCTGAGAGAGGACCAGAGAAGTTAAAGCTTTATCTTGGCCGCATAGAGAGGCATTCAGCCTTTCAGCATGGAGGTGTTGAAGCTACTTCTCCCTGCTGGAGTCCAGGAGTCCTTAGAGTTTTGGTTCATAGGTTCACCACAGTTCATAGTTCACCACATAAGAAACAGGAATGATTATTTATTCTATTCGATGTCTGTTATCTTCTCCCTCATTAATTTTAAGACTGAATTCCTCCATTCATCCATTCTGTGCACATTATATCACATGGAATTTTTTTTCTTCTTCTTTTGCCTTATTTGCTAATATAAGGCAGAGGTGATGGTGTAATTATTTCTGTCAAGGTAATTATTTTAAAACTTAATTTCATAAGAAGCACTTATTAATTTTTTCAACTGCAGTGGATGAAATTAAAGATCTAATCTTTCCTGTACTCAGGAGGGAGAGCATTATTCTAATTTGCATAAGTTTACATTACAATAACAACAACAAAAAAGGACAAAAATTGCAATTCAATGTAGATTAAGATTTGAAAAGCATTAATTTTTTTTCTTAGAAGGATGAATTCAGCCCACTGTGGTACAGCATCATTCACCCTCAAAGGTTACTCAGTTTAGCAGAAACTGTACATCAGAGTTGAGCCCTGGAAAGTGCCGGATGTTCTCTCTTTCTTCTTCACTCCCATTGCAAGAAGACCTCAGCACCTGATGGACCTTGATCAAATAGTTTTAATTAAGGGCTTGGATCTCCATCTCACAAGTCATTTACTTATTTGCCTCTTTTATATTGGTTATCTCTACTTGAAGCAGCCGTTAGTTTTATGCGATATAGAAGGACAAATCTTGACCCATACCTAAAATAAGACACATGTTTTTATATTAGCCCCTGAATATGCCATCCCATAAGTCTTTTTCTGAACCCATATTACTTTTTGTATCTATGTCCACAACACCCTTATGCTCTTGATCAAAATAATAAAAAAAAGCCCCACGTGGAAGCCACACACAGGTGGTACCATAAATGACAGAGTTATAGTTTATTAATTTGACAGACTATCATCTAGACAAGGGGCCAAGTCTGTAATTAGAAGTTCTGCAGTGCAAGCCTCTGTTAATAGCAGAACATCAATATGCACATGGCTGTACATGAAGAGTGTTTCAGTAACTGAGGAAAAAGGATACAAAAGTCATCTGTGAGGATGCTGGTGGAGGCAGTCAGAAGGAAAAATACCATTTGTTTCTGCAGCTGTGAGGTTGCTCAGTCATCAGCACATTTTCATTCTCTGAAAACACAAAAATGATTGCTTTCAAATCTGAGTGCCTCTCTGACTCTTAGACAGAGTGTTCTGAACAATCTGATGCTATGGATGATGTATGGATGTAGAAAGACTGATGTGATTTGCATGTTTTTGATGTAACTGTGAATGGCGGGAGCAGTTAACAGAAATTAACTGCATGTGTTTTTAAATAGAGAGCTGAAACTTTGGGAAAGCTTTTGCAAAATACTCATATGCTTTACATGCAAAATTCTTTCTGAAATTTATTGACATTTTAATGATTTAAATAATTTCACTTAAAGGAGAATATTGTACAGCAGACTTAGAAACAAAAGCCATTTGTCACCATGCTAAAATTCATTAACTTGGTGGAGTGTTATAATATTGAAAACATCAAATTATTGTAATTAGCATTTCTGTGATGTATATCAGGCAGGAAAAACTGAGCCTCTGGTTTGCCAATTTTTCTGCATTTTTATTCATTTCTCCTCGTGGCTGAGACCCTCCAACTCCTGTGAATGTCCACTGTGACTGAACCTCCCCCCAAATATGTTTATGCAATAACTTAAAGTTACATAAAGTCAAAAGGATTGCCCAAACTGCAACAATTCTCCACCAAAATATGTGAGTGGAGATCCACAGCCTCTTGCTGCTGACCACCTTGTGTTTGATGGGGCAGCAAAATGAGCCCTGTGAAATACCTTTCCCCCTGCCCTGGGTTCTGCACAATTGCTCTGCTGTAAGCAGTGAAAGGGGGAGGTAATCTGAAAACCAGACTGTGTGACTGTGGATTAGCAGCTTTCCTTGGGGTATTGTAAAGGAACTGAGCCCTGCAGTGCAGGGCAGTGTGGTGAGGTCTGGACTCTCCTCATGCCCAGTGGCTGTGTAACAAAATCTTAGGGTAATGAATAGACATTTTAAACCCATTCACTGTGGAAACATATGGGGTGATTTGCACCATGCAAAATATTTCAATTCCAGTTAGCTCCAGATGAAAATCTGTGTGTACTATTAGAGTGTTGCTGACAGCACGTGGTTTCTCTTGGTAGCAGGGGGACATCTTGCCTTTTGCTATGAACATATATTAGTTAAATGAAGTTATTTCTTGCTTTCTTTTTCAGAGTAGGTTTTGCTGAGCCAAACCATCCTGAAAAGCTGAATAGTGCAAACCACAGCTGCTGTGGCTGAAGCCAAAGCAGTTCTTTTGTGAAGGAAGCATAGGAGGTTTTAGAAAAATGAGGGCTTCATGTAGCATTTTATTCATGATTATAGCTTGAAGAGAAGAGTAAATGGGGTGGTGCTGATGGGGAAAGGGGAGCAATGCAATTGCAGAATGTTAGCAGACAATTTGGAGACCTTTATTAAGGCTGTGGTATACCCTCCTTCTCAGGAGATAATGCACACACACACCACAGTCTTAATTAGCCTTGATGATATTTTATCTCCTTGGCACCATGCCTAAAGAGGAGCACTGCGAGGGGAGTTGGGATGTGCCTAAATCCCTCAGGAGCCATTTCTGGTTGAACAAGGTGCAGGTCCTGCCCCTCAGCACAGCTCAGCTGTTTCTGACCCCATCAAGCTGCCAGGGTGCTGGTGTGGGCTGGGCACTCAGCCTGCTGCCTGCCTGGGCAGAGGCAGGGAGAAGCAGAAGTTAACCCTGCACAGGAGAGTGTGATGTTCACCTTTTTAACACCCACTCTCCAATGTCAAAGTTGTGACATGGAGAAGTCCTCACTGACATGCACCCAGAAGCCACAGACCACGCCTCTCAAGCCTTCTCTCATGGAGGAGGATAAGTAGATAAACACAGGTTTAAATTGCAGAAAAGGGATTTTACTGATCTTTGAAAACACCTCAGTGTTCTTGGAGCTGCATGTTTTGTCACACTTGCTAAGATCTTCAGCAGAGGAATGGGTAGGCAGTAAGATTAGGGTATTCACAAGGCTCCCAGCAGCTTCTGTCAAAATAAGCATTATTTGGTTAACAGAACAAGCTATAATGCCTATGTATTTTATAGAAGCATCACTATATTTTCCTGGCATATTGCAACAGTTTTGGGAGTAGAAAAGAGTGTAATCATTTAATCACATGTGTGTAAGTTATGATGGATAGGTTTTGTTTTCAAAAGAAAAGCCTAAGTGATTTTTGGATCTAAATTTACTTCTCTAGTGGCTTAAGTACTAGAATGATATAATCATTAGGGTTGGAAAGTACCTCCAAAATCATCAAGTCCAACATTTGAGCAAACACCACATTGTCAACTAAACCATGGCACTCAGTGCCACATCCAATTGTTCCTTGAGCACATCTGGTGATTCCACCACCTCCCTGGTCAGTCCATTCTAATCCTTAACAACCCTTTCTGTGAGTAAATTCCTCCTGATTTCCTACCTGACCCCCCGCCCCCGGTGCTGATTGCCTGGGAGAAGAGGCCAATCCTTACCTTGCTAAAACCTCCTTTTAGGTGGTTGTAGAGAGGGATAAGGTCTCCCTTGAGCCTCCTCTTCCCCAGACTAAACAAGCCCAGTTCCCTCAGCTGTTCCTCATATGAATAATTCTCTAAATCCTAAAAAAAAATAGTGAGATTTCACTGAAAATCAGTGGTACATAGGCTCTAAAGTTTTTTACGTGCATTTAAAACTGTATTAAATGATTTGACAATAAGCAATTTATGGATAAAATATTAATTTTAAGTTAAACAGGATTTCAGGATAATTTTAAGATTATTCTAAAGTGCCCCTAAAACTAATAAGATAGATAAGTTTATAATTGTACCTATAATTATCTTAATATATTTACATGATTATGAACTTTTTGACACCTGTTTTAGGCTGTTTCCAGTGTTTTTAATAAAAAGTTAGATATGATCTGTGTGCTGTCAGAATGACTCCTCACCATGAACACTTATGTATACGTACACACCATTCCATTTCACTGACTGATTCCATTTTTACTGTTGTGTAAAAAAGCTTCTTTACTTTCTAGAAATGGAATCTGTTCTCATTCTTCACAGGAATGACTACTTCCCCCTCCTAAAAAAATGGTGGAGGTGGTAACCCAGAGCTTGCTTGGGGTGTGGCTATCTGTTAAAGGCATTTCTATAAATCAGGTATGTAAAATATTTCTCACAGCCCTGGTTAATGCTTTAATCATGGGGTCTTTCTCAGGATCTTGTTCAAGCAACAGGAGCACAATTTTGGTCAGCTCCCTGATAACCAGCTCAGGTTGCTGATTTCCCAGGTTTGGACCCTACTTGTTGTTTTACCATGTGCAGAAATTACCTGGGGAGCAATGCAGAGCTTTTCTGCAGAAAACAGAGAAGTTTTGCCCTCGCTTCTACAGCACTGTTGTATTTTTCCTCCTCCTACCTTCACCTCATTTGGGAACACTTACTGAAGTCCAAAAGGGGTCCTAAAGGGGTCCAAAAGATGTAGCTGTAGTAGCAGGGGCCTTGTGGCCAACATTTAGATGCTGCTCTTGCATTTGTGCTATGACTGCAGACCAGTCAAGGCACAGCCAGTGTGATTGTTACACCACGTCTGCCTTGCTTGTGCAGCCCAATCTCATGTAAAAGCAACTGTTCTTTTTTGTTGGAACCCTGGATGCTGGGAATTTTAGACTTTCTGTGTTGTCAGACACTGACCCCCAGGAGAGCACTGCATTTGACCTGAGGCCATGGAGAAGGCTTACAAAATTGAATGATGGAAATGGGATTATGGGTGTGTAGTTTGAATAGAAGTGTGTAATACCACATGGTGGAAAACTTAAGAGTTTAAGGTTTTAGAATATAGTAATATATATGAAGCAAGATGGAGGTTTTAGGGTGGAGGTTGGTTCTTCTTCTTTACCTTCTTTTTCACCTTCTTCTTCATGGGTTTGGGTGGTATTGTGTAATTGGATAAAAAGTCTGCATTGGAGGCACGGGTGGTTGGTTATTGGGTTAAAAGTAAAAAATAATTGAGGTGTCATTTCTCAGTTGGACAGCTTATCCTTAACAGACTTTGTAGAGAAAGAGAGATACATCTCCATTTTTTTCTTGTTAGAGTACTGTACAACTCACAGCCTTTGAGACTATATTATAAGAACTAATAAACATCTGATTCCGAATAAGAAATACCCTCTTGTGATTTAATCCCAGTCTTGGCAGAAAAGAAGCAAAGAATCCATTATGTTTCCACTTACAAAAAGTAATCCTAGAATGTACTTCCAGGACTGAAAGATTGCATGCACTGTTTAGATACCCAAAACACTGGATAAGCTGCTTCTTTGACTGAAGGAAAACCTTTCTTCTGCTTGATTTTGAGCAAGGAACTGATGTCAGATCTGCCTCTTATGGAAATGTGCCAACCACAAAACTCCTGGGTATGCTGCAATGAGCCTCAGTCTCTTCTGCAGCAGCCCCACACACTGCAACAGGTATGTGAACACAAATCTGCCTCTTCCAAGGTTAGTGCTTCAGGATTTTGAGTGGATCATTTTCATCCTTGAAATATTTCATGGCAATATGGGAAGAGGTGCTCTAATTTATAAAAGACAAAGGGCTATTTGATATGAAATATTTGTCTTTAATAATTTCTGGATTAAAATGAGAAGAATTAATATTATGGCAATACAGTATTTGAATATTCCAATAATAGCTCCATATGTTCTGAACTATTGACCACTTCCATGGAATATTGAAAAGATAATACTTTTACAGACAACAAAGTAGAATTAAAAATGTAATTCTAAATTACATTGTGGTTTCTAAGTTAAAGGAAATCAAACTCAATGGCTTTTCAGACATTTACTTTGTTAATAAGCGTAAAAGGCTTCTAAATGTTTTTCATACCAACAGAAGCATTCAGAGTTCAGCAAGTCCAATGACCACAGGGAGTTATGCTTGTGAGCATCTCTTGCATATAAATGAATGGCTGCTGAGGAAATTTGACAGTAGTTAATATTTCAATGGTGTTTATAAATTTTGTTAGCATTCTGAGAGGAAATAGAAATACAATTAATTTAGCTGTTCTGCTGAAGGGCTAGTTAATCAAAATTAAGTGATGTGAGAGCTGCTCAGCTCTGAAGCCATGCAGCCATTCTTATTAGGGCTTGTTTCTTCCCTCCATGAAGGTGGTTCTGTCTGATGTCTGGCTGTCATTTTGGATGTCTGTCTGGAAAGCTGGCTTGCAAACATTTTATTTTGACAGCACATCAACCATTCTTAGGAAGATTTCTCAAGAAAACCTTCTTCCACAGAGTTTTAAATAGGTTTTAACTGCTGGATAGAAATTCAATGGTGGGGAAGAGTGGGAAGGAATAGCTTTAAAAGCGATTGGCAACTGGCAATATTGGAGTGATCGAGTCTGGCTTTGCTGTACAACAGCTGAGATCTTTCTTGTGTACTAATAAATAATTTTTAGGCTATTTATGATGTAAATGAAGATAAGTTCAAGAGATAAAGTCTTGCCATAAATTGTGTGTGCTTTTATTGTGGTAGAAATCAGGAGCTAGAAACTCTGATAGTGACAGACATAGAAGCTTTTGAAGCCCTTACTGCAAATTATAAACTTCAGTATAACTAACATAGATGATAATGCAGATAAAATTATCTTTATATTAGGGAACCCAGGAAACCAAACATATTGATTCTGAACTCTATTGTTAGAGAAGAATCATTGAGGGAAATGTAAGCTTTAGTTTGAGATTAGTTTGAATCACTGTATTTCAGTCCCTGAAAAAAAACAACAGGAAGGAGAAACAAATTTGTCTAACACTATGAGTAAATAGCCTGCTCAAGTAGGAAGAGATTGTGTGATCTCAGCAAATATCTTGCCAAAGGTGGTGACACCAACCCATTGAAATCAAGGCTTGCAAATAGCATCTTGTTGGAACTCAAAGAGGAGACCAAAGGGGAATCAGAGGTGCAGAACAAAGGCCATGAGGCAAATATATATATACACACATATTTTTATTCCTCTCCATCAAGAATAGATGCTGGATTTTCTATACTGATAGTACCTTTTCCTCATGGGAGTGAGAGCTTTATTGTCTAGTATAAAGTGAAAGTGTTTTGAATTTTTGCATGATGCCGGATATGAATCAGCCAATTTTGTGCTTCAAGAAAACCTTGCTTGATGTTCACAGCAAATATTTTAGTACCCAAGTCTTGTATAGTTCTTCTTCCTAAGTTTGGAAAAATCCAATATGCCTGTGTTCCCTTGGCCTCTTGAAAGCACATAAACTTTCCTCATGAGTCTGTTTCTTACTCATGCCAGCAGGTTCAGTATACAGTGGAATGAGATCTGTAAGGAGGTTATTGAGTTTCCCGCTGGCTATTGCAAGCTACACTCATATGAGACAGAAGAGTTGAGAGAATATGTAGGTTTGACAATTTCTTTTGCATTGCAGCTGTGAGACTTTGACACAGATCGTGCCTGTTGGATGTGAGTGGAGTGTGCTTCCTGCCCTGCCACTTACCACGATGTTCAATTCACTCTGAACTCCAGGACCTCCTCTGGGTGTTCTTGTACAAGAGCTAGAGCTTCTGTATGTGAAGGACACCTTGGATTTCTAAAAGCATAACCCTAAGGCAGACAAAAGGACAGAGAAAATGGGACTTCTAATAAAAGAGGTAGAATGAGGAATACTCAGTACCTCTCTGTACTTGTTTCATACAGGAGATCCCATAAAGAAGATAATGCCATATGACAGTTTCCCTACACTGAACCTCCTTTTTTGCCTGAAAAACTATTTTTGTTAAAAATTTAACTGGAAAGTGGATTTATGACTTCTCTTTGGTATCTTAACCTTGCATTAATTGGAAGCTGCTATATGGAATTATTTGTGTTGATGTGTTTCTTGTCTTTATTGCAGATGCTCTGTGCTTATCTTGCATGAGGAGTGGGCAATTTTTCTTGTACTTTTTCTGAATTCCTTTGGTGAAAATATTAGAAATTTTGGTAGTACTTAGGGCCTGGAGTAAATTCCATAAAAATCAGGTCTTTGGTTTTATATTACTGCTGAATTTTTAGATTATATACTTTTTCAGAAAACTTGGAAATTACCCACCTCCCAAGAAACTTCAACTCCCCCCCCTTCTACTAATTTATTATCCATGGGTAAATGGCTTCTGATTTCAGTGTCATGAGGGAACAAACTCTAGCAGGCTCAAGAGAAGTGGCACAGTGAACTTGCATCCAGATGTGATCAGTGATTTTCTCTTGTAGCTGATGACCCTTTCTTTTTCCCTCTATGAAAAGACTAAATCAGAAGAGGGTAACAGGGAATTCAGAGGCTATTTGAAATGCTTCTTTCCACATTTTTCTTCTTCTTGTTCATGACTTCTGCATCCTGAATAGTTTTTAAAGGTGCCCTCAGCTGTTTGTCCTCTGAATCATGCAGGCACCAGTGGAAAAATGCAAGAGTCTGTTACATACTTTAAGGTATGAGATGGGAAAAAGTTGCAGCTTTTTAAATGGTTGCTGTTTCAGAGCAGTAAGGGAAATATAATTTAAAATTTCTCAGGCATTTATAGATTCATAAAACTTCTTGAAAGCTATGCCTAAAATTTAGTTATTCACAATATGATTTTTTTCACACCTGAATACTTAAGGTAGAGGAATGTAATACAAAGTCATCTGTGTGAAAATGCTGTGCCACATGCCTCATGCATTTATAATGCTTTTAAATACACAATAAATATTGCTATTCAAAATGGGATTATTTTATCAAGACTTAATGTTTTGGCTGTGATTTTCTTTGGCCTGGGGTTTGCTCTGGGCAGCCATTTCAAGCAGAAGAGCTATATGCAACTTTTCAGGTTATTTTCTATTGAGTTTGCAGTAAACTGGAGCCAGCTGCAAAAACCTCTGGGGAAGAGCAGCACAGTATTATTGTTTTAAGTCTTCCCTCTATTTTATCATCTAATATTCACCTACTATAATTCTTTCTGCTCTACTGGCTCAGAGCAAGGGCACCAAGTTAATGTTATTGAAACTTTTGGGGCTTGCTGGGCACCAGATGGATTAGCTGTGCGGGGAGAAAAAATTGCAGAGACATTTTGCATGGCTTCACAAAGAACTTGCATGTTTAGCCTGCAATCTTAATGGTGCAAATGATGGGCATTGGGCTTGCTCAATTTTCCAAGTATGTTTACAGCTAGGATCCTGCCTCAGAGCAGCTGCCTTGTGGTTGCCACTTGATGCCATGCTGACATCAGGTGTTTTTCTTTTTGAACATTCTCTAACTTTTCCAGCCTGAGAAGTAAGCAGCCTGCCAATCAGGCTTTGATGGTATCGAAGAGGGCATTGTGGAACACTTGATTGCTTGCTCTCTGTTGTCCACCCTCATCCTTTCCCCCAGAATTTTCTATTTTTGGTAGAATAACCCCTTTTTTTTTTTGACCTTATATGAAGTGCTTTGTTTTGCTGGCCTTGCTCTGTGTGCTGGTTCTTGAGTTCCACTTTTGTGGTACAGAATTCTTCATCAAGCAGACATTCCAAAGAGTCAAAATATTTTTCTCAGAGTATGCAATTGCATCCTGAGGTACCCAGAACTTGGTGAAATATTCAACACTGTGTGTGAGCTGTTATTCTGCACTTTAAAAATCTTTCCTAAAGGGATTGTGCTTAAAAAGTGTGTCATGGCCAAGGAAAACTCCAAAATGTGAGTGACCCAGGTGGTGAGAGCCAAGCACCAGAGTGTAAGCGTTTAACTAAGAAGCTCTGAGGGTATTCTTGTTTCTGAAAACCAAACATAATATTGGTACTAACATGACTTGATCCCACTCCTAGCACTGATAGCTCAGTTGCTTGAAACCTCTAAGTTTTCTTTAGTATGAAATGAAAAATGCTTTCTTAGAGCATCATGAATTAACATACGACTGCATTTCTCAGTTTATTCATCCTTCAGAAAGTTGATCAAACATTAATTTGACTACATAAGTAAAGCACCCACTGTGGTATTGAAAATAAACTTTTCAGTTGCTTTAAGTGTGCAACTGGAAAATTAATGAGCCTAGAACAAGTTTATCTTTTGCAAAGCTAAAACTCTGACAAATTTCCAAAGGACTAGCAAAACTATAAAGATTTTTTGACAGGAGAAGAGATCAAATTTCTACATTTTAATGGGTAACACTTCCATGCATCCTTGGTTTGTTCAGTTTCATTTTTCATCTATTTCTGCCATGATGTTTCTTGCTTAAAGCATTCTTTTGTATGAGGAATCACCCTTAAGCAGCTTGTGGACATACTTGTGGGCATTAAAAGCATACTGGGAGAATTCTCATTTTTCAAGAGTGTTCGAAGTGTTTTTCTGTGGCAGGTAGTCTGTTAAAGCTTTTCAGGTTTAAGAACAAGAGTCAGCAATCTTCTGCCAAAATACTTGCAATCTATTTCAGTCTCAGTTGCATCAGGGGTTGGCAGTTAAGCATGGTTTTCTGCTCAGGCCCTTGTAGCCAGAGTGAATTTTGGAATAGTGATTTCTTATAGCCTGAGGCTATAAGTCCAGACAACTTCAAAAGTTCCTCTGAAAAAACTGCAAAACTTTAAAAAAACCAACCCCAACCTAAAAAGCTGAGAGATCCTGGTAGTCTTATGTAGGTATGCCTGAAGGGGTAAGTAGAGAAAATAAAGATATAAGGTTAATCCTAATGAAGGTTCAAAATTCATCCTCGTTTTCTTTTTCTTCATTATAGTATCAGAGCATGGGACAGCAGCTGGGTTATCTCTTAGAGAAATCAGATGGCTCTTCAGCTTTCAGAAAACTGAGAAATGGTGGTTTTTGGGCACACTTTCCCCATGTCCTTGATGACAGCTGGAAAGCAGAAACTTTGCCAGATGTGCTAGGCCGTGCATGACTGCAGGATTTCCTTCTGTAAGTCATTGTCTGGTTGCTGTGGAAGGACTTGACTGCATGGCAATGGTCTGCAGTAGTTCTTGTCAATAACCTTTGATGAGTTGACCTTCAATGAAATTGAACAAAGGAGCCATTAGTGTTTCAAAGAGCTGAAGGAGCATGGGCAGGGGGCCTGGTACTGATTGCTTAAAGCACTTCCTTTTCCTCCCTGAGGGGTTTGTCTTCCCTTATAACAATGGCTTTCCTAGGTAGGCAAGCCCTCATTCCCTGCCACAGATGTGGCTGGCCTGAGCATCTTTAGGAGGTCAGGACTCATCTCACTGATGAGAACTGGGAATGGAAATAAAAAGGAGCTTCTTCTGCATGGGTGTTAAATTTTTTGAGTATTTCAACTGTCTCTGAAGTGTTTTCTGTGCCTGCAAACTTTACTCCTTCCCATTCTTCCCTTCTTCCTAAGACTCTGACATAGCACTGAAAACACCCATAAATTCCTCTCTCCTGGGCCTGCTGTGGGAACTCTTCCATCCTTTCATCTTATTGAATTTTTTTATTATTTTTTGAGGGTGAAAAATGCTTGTGTTTCACTTCAAGTAGGTGAGATTTTGTACTTTCTGTTCATCGTCAGAAGTACTTCTCCCTTACCTTGTGACTGGTGCATCTTATCCTAATGGATATCACCGTGTTGTGTATTGCCTGAAGCTCTTCTATCTTGACCATCATTAGCATCATTACAGTCCCTTTCTTTTGCAGCTATTTTATTGTTGCTGAAAAACGAGATGTGAAACAGTAACTGAAAATCCAGTTGTACTCAGATCTCCTGATGAACCTCTGACTTCAATTTTGTGTCTTCAAAAGAAAGTCATTGCAATCTTGTAGCAAACTGAGCTTCCCTGAATTGCACTGTGATCATCTTAACATAAAAGCACAGTCCAGGTTTTCAGTATAGTCACAAACTCTACAAGGACCTGAAAGCAGAAGAAAGCTTGTTTTTAAAGTCTTTGAGCCATGCAGGACAACAAGGCAACTGATTAATAAAGTTCTGTTTTTTCCCTATCACATCCTCTGTCCTCACAACACCAACAAAACCCCCAACTTGTTCCTCTAAAATGAATCTGGAATAAAAGATAGAAATGATCTTTCATCTCAAAATTGTGAAGGGGCTTGCTTTGAAATCTTTCATTAAAATCCCTGTTTTGTCTCTGTCTTGACAGGCTGTAAAGGCAACTCTCCAGTCTTCTATATCAAAGTCTAAAAAACGTAAATCATAAAGCCTTCTTTCATTGCTCCAAAAAAGTGTTCAAACACACTAAGGGAGGCAATCCTAAAGTTTCATCAGTACACCATTGATCCTGACATGACTGGCTGTTTAATGTTAACAAAAGGTTACGAAGGTTTTAATTTTTAGAGGAAACTAAACTTCTCAAGATCTTTTGAACCTTTTTTTTCCCTCCATTTTGTCAGAAAATGTCTTTCAAAGGGCTTGTGTCCATGTCTCTGTAGAATAGAATACTATTTATTACACTTGCCTCTAAAGGCCTCTAAAGTTAAACCTCGAAATCACAGATTCAGAAGAAAATTCACTTCCCCCAGAATAACAAATAAGACTGAGTTGGTGCATTTGTTGTACTGGCAGCCAGTGCCTTGAGCTTTTGGGGCAGAAGAGAGGGCTGGGTGTGGGTATTATTTTGACCTGGATATTTTATTTTCAACTTGCAATGCTGATGGAGGCAATGCTGGGTTAGATCCTGTTTCAGGACTGTCCACTTGGGCTGATGATGCCTGCTTGCTCTGAAAGGCAGTACATGGACCCAACCTGCTCTGATCTGGGGTGATGCTTTTAGCACTTCCTAATACAGGTAAGTGACTCTTAGTCACTTTTGATTTCCTGCCTGGATGTCTGCTGTGGGTCTGTTCTCATACAGCAGTGTGGTGCTTCTCCTTCTCACCCGTTCCTTTAGTCACACACTAAACAAAATCTCATTTTAACAATATTCTCCTAAGTCATACTGAGTTCCATCCCTCCCTACAGCGTAAAGTTGAGAGTTTCCCTAGGCTTTAGATATATTAGTATCAGTATCCTGGTTTCAGCTGGGATAGAGTTAGTTTTCTTCCTAGCAGCTGATACAGTGCTGTGTTTTGGATTTTGTAAGAGAATATGCTGATAACACTCTGATGGTTTAATGGTTGCTAAGCAAGGCTTACCGCAAGTCAAGGACTTTCCAATTTCCCACAGTCTGCTGGTAAGCAAGTGCACAGAAATCCAGGAGGAAGAATGGCTTGGACAGATAACCTGAACTGGCCAGATGGGTATTCCATACCAGAGAATCATGCTCAGTGTATAAACTGGGGGGAATTGACCAGGAGAGGACAATCCCTGCTCAGGATGCTGAGTGATTGTTTTGGGGATCACTTGTCTATCTTAGGCTTTATCCTTCTCTCTCTCCTTGTAGTCACCCTTTTCATTATTATCCTCCTCCTCTTCCTCCTCCTCCTCCTCCTTCTCTGTCTCTGTTTCTGTCTTCTCCTTCTCCTCCACTAAACCACTCTTATCTTGGCCCATGGTTTCTACCTCTTTCCAGTTCTCCTCCCCATCCCACCAGGGCTGGGGTGGAGAGGGAATGAGTGGCCGCATGGTATTTAGCTGCCAGCTGGGGATAAACCATGACAACGACATTCAGAGAGATAATTCTGGCTCCATGACAACACCAGCTTTTACAGTCTCAGAGGGACTGAGTGCATCAACCTCAGAAGGCAGCTGTGGCACGGCAGGAGGAGAATACCCTCAGGCAGGTGGCCTGTCCATCCCTACAGTTGCAAAGTGACACGTGCCAGTAGCCTGCATACCTTGCAGAGGTCAGGCCTTG